TTTAGGCTTTTGTCACTGCCTTAACTTCCTAAGTGCAGGTTAGCTCTCAGCCACAATCCACACATACTCAGATGATAACCACACCTACAGTGCAGACAGCCAGTCTGCCACCTTTAACCCACACACACACTCATCCAGAGCAGTTATGCTGCTGGCTGGGACCAGTCCGTCCAGTCACTCTCTATATCATTTAATTGACGCACTGTTTACTTTGAGGTGTGCGGCTGTGGGGAAAGCCCTCATCGCCTGCCACTGATAATTGGAGGCAGACCTTTCAAATGAACACCATCTGTACACAAATCACTCAACCAACTCTATTCTCCTTTTGTTTTGTCTTCAGGGAGGAGGTGAATGATAAGCTCAGAGACATGCCTGATGGGACCTTCCTGGTACGGGATGCTTCCACCAAGATGCAGGGCGACTACACACTCACACTGAGGTAAAGTTTTAGTTAAGTTTGTATCGGAGTCATGATTGGAGTGTGTTTAAAACCGCAGGGGGATTTATGGAGGCTTGGGGGAGTGGTAGATTACTTCTTCTGCTCCACTTTTATGCAGCCATCCCTCTAGTTAACTACAGATTGAGGGAAATCATGTGTTGCGAAGCATTTTGCCCACGCAGCATCCTGGTAAATTGGAGCAAATCACCCACTGCCCTGGAAATAAAGTGCTTGAGGGGGAACTGAGCCTGAACTAGAAGCTGTTAAAGTGTGAATATTAAGGAGAATCCATCTATTTTGGGATGCATTTTCAGCATGTTTTACTATAGAGGTTTGAATATGGTGTCGATATGTACTCATATTCTTGCTCATATCCTTTTTTTTTCCCTCATGTTCAGGAAAGGGGGAAACAACAAGCTGATAAAGATCTACCATCGGGACGGGAAGTACGGCTTCTCTGACCCCCTGACCTTCAGCTCGGTGGTGGAGCTCATCAGCCACTACAGACACGAGTCTCTGGCTCAGTACAATACCAAGCTGGACGTGAAACTCATGTACCCCATCTCCCGCTTCCAGCAGGTCTGTGTACACGATTACATGCATAAAATATTTTCACCTACACAAATTCATCCAACAAGATACACAAGACTGTTGTATTGTTATGACTTTTAAAGGAAAATTCAGGGTCTTTACAGGCTGGATCTTATTTTAATTAGCTATATTGAAGAAAAACCAGGACTTGTTGATGTGAGCTAGTGTCCGTGGACTGATGTCCATGGTTTTTGAAAAAGAGGTGTGATGTATAGGCATACTGTAGTTTTGTGCACAGGTAATTTAACAATGCAGTAGATGACTTTAAGGGACCGATCAGGTGTGTTCACTTTCGTTTACTTTTCCAAATTAGTGGTTTAGAGTATTTGATTTAACTGCATTTGTTTAAAACCTGTCTGGTAGCTTATATTGAATTTATTTGGAGGCTGTGTCCTCTGGTGTTGGCACATCTCCTGGTCTGTGGTGATACAAATATCATCGTCAGCAGTAGGGGAGAAATGCTAAAAAATACAAAATTTTCCTTTGAAAGTTTTGTCACTTCTCGATCTTGAGGATAAAACTCCCTCTTCCTAATTTTTCTATCATATTACTACATTTACAACACCTTTCCAGCCAGTCTCCTCTTTAACCTCCCACCCCCACGTCCTGCATACCCGGTGGCTCTTGCTGGGTGTTTCCACTCCAAACTGCAGCGGCAGCAAGATCTCCGCTCGCTGAAATATTGTCCCGTTTGCCGGCCCAGTGCCACGCTCCCTAAATAATTGCACACATCGGCGGTGTCAAAGGGCCGTTGTTACATTTATTCCCTTTCTCCCTTGTTCCACTCGTTTGCCAGGCGAGTCATTACTCAGAGCGATGCAACATCTCCAAGCGTGCACACCTTGCCATGCACCCAGGGCTTTGTGGGTGGTTAATTAACGAGCCTGTTCAGGAGTCACCCTCGCTAAGCAGAATCAGGGGTGAAGGGAGCAAGCACGCACATGCACTTTTTCCTGCGTCCCTAATTACAAATAGCTCTTCACTCTCATGTCTCACACTCACGCATGCAGCCTATTTTTCCTCTTCCTGATTTGGGTGTCTGTGCACTACTTTGTCTCTAAGACTTTTCATTTCTCTTCCTTAAACCTTCAGGACCAGCTGGTAAAGGAGGATAATATTGACGCCGTGGGGAAGAAGTTGCAGGAATACCACAATCAGTACCAGGAGAAGAGCAAAGAGTACGACAGACTGTACGAGGAATACACCAAGACATCGCAGGTACACTTGCACTTACTCATTATGATGTTTTTATAGTTTTAACAGGAAAAAAAAAACACATTTTCCATCCTGCCCTCTCGCTAACCTCCTCTTCTCTCCCCCCTCAGGAGATCCAGATGAAGCGGACGGCCATTGAAGCCTTCAATGAGACCATCAAGATCTTCGAGGAGCAGTGCCACACGCAGGAGCGCTACAGCAAGGACTACATCGAGCGCTTCCGGCGCGAGGGCAATGACAAGGAGATTGAGAGGATCATGATGAACTACGAGAAGCTCAAGTCTCGGCTCGGAGAGATTCACGACAGCAAGGTGCGGCTGGAGCAGGACCTGAAGACACAAGCCATGGACAACCGAGAGACAGACAAAAAGATGAACAGCCTGAAGCCCGACCTCATACAGCTCCGCAAGATCAGGGACCAGTATCTAGTGTAAGTGCTGAAGACATGATTGATTATTACCACAGCAGGCAGGCAGACATGGGACCTGGGTTGAACTTCTGGTTCAGCTCAGGTCTCCTGGCACATGTCAAAGTCAGCTGTGTGAGTCTGAAAGGGGAAGAATTTTTCCAGTTTACTTGGAAGCCCTGCTGTCATGCTGTCCTCAGACAAGGTACATACATAGGATATGAAAACATCCAAGCTGTTGAGCATGTACACATCAGTTCTAACCAACTGTTTTTGGGAGTTATAATTTTGTGTTACACACACTTAATCTACACCTAGGAGTATATATTTGCCTGAATTAGCTGAAATATCTGACAAATCAAGCCACTTAATCACAGTAATTATCACATAAGATATGACAGAGGTCAATAACACAGTGTATCATCCCATCACCCAGAGGACATTTTAGTCCCAAGGCCCAAAATAAACAGACGTTCTATGACTGTCACGCTGCTCAATTAGAAACTTGTGTTTTCCCTTACTAAGGGTTCAGCCAGAGACTTCCTGCTGCATTTCTAGGAACAAGTCGAACAGAATTTCAGCAGAGCTGGCCTCATTCTTTGAGGACATTTGTTGGAGGCTCGCTGATTTGGTGTCTGTCCAGTCTTATGTTTGTTTGCTGCATCATAAACAATGTTGTAAATGAAACGAGCCTTTCAAACTGATCCTAGTAGTAACAGTTCTCTCTCCCTCTCTAGCTGGCTCAATCACAAAGGAGTTCGTCAGAAACGAATTAACGACTGGCTGGGAATCAAGAACGAGAACACTGACGAGTGAGTTTCTACTTTTGAGTTTTTCTTCCTTTGCTCTGCCAAACCTTCCACTGAAGATACAAATAAAGGGGTTAACACCATTACTGTACATATGTCTACACGCACAGAGCAACTGCTGCATTACTTTATTTATTCTCCGACCTTTAAATAAGGACAGATTTAAAGTTCCCCATGTTCATCATGTGTCTCTTGTTGTGTAACTGTCTGTGTGGGTGCAGAGGCTACTTTGTGAGCGAGGAGGATGAGAACTTGCCTCATTACGACGAGAAGAGCTGGTTCGTCGGGGACCTGAACAGGACGCAGGCGGAGGAGCTGCTCATTGGGAAGCCAGATGGAGCATTCCTCATCCGAGAGAGTAGCAAAAAGGGCTGCTACGCTTGCTCTGTAAAGTGAGTATGCACGACATGATTTGAGCGATGTGCACCTGAAGTGTCAAAACTATTTCCACTTTTTGAGATGTTACATCACACACAGTAACATACACATTTCGAGTGTAGAAGTACACAAGACGTCATACAGGTTTTTGTAATATTTTGTTTTCCTTCATTTATGTGAACTGTCATTGATTGTCAGCCTTTAAGAGACATGTATGAATCACTGTTTTTCTTAACAGTGATGTTTACCATTAATTACCATTAGCCCGAGGTTAGTAGGTCAAATAAAATGACTATTTTACAACTGCAGTTTCATTCTAGGAAATAATAGAACAAAGGCAGTTTGAGGAAATCATCTGAAAATGTGGAAGGAAAACGTTTGAATGGTCTTTTAAAGTGTGTCTGTACATGATTGACTGGAAGCATTAGATTGTGTTAACCGACAGGAATCCCTCCTGAATGATTTTTAAATTCCTGACCAGCCAGCTCGACTAGATCTGTCCTCTCTGTGTCCTCAGTGTTGAAGGTGAAGTGAAGCACTGCGTCATCTACAGCACACCCCGCGGCTTCGGCTTCGCTGAGCCCTACAACCTGTACAGCAGCCTGAAGGACCTGGTGCTCCACTACCACCAGACCTCCCTGGTGCAGCACAACGACTCGCTCAACGTGCGCCTCGCATACCCCGTCTACGCACAGATGCCCTCCGGACGCAGATGAACCCCACCCACCAGGCCACACCCCCACATAGACATCAAACCAACCCCCTCTTGGGGAAGGGAGAACGGGGAAAGTGAAGGAAGGAAGGAGGGAGGGGGGATTGGTTGAAATACAAAGCAACCCCAACACCAGACCCGATAAAGATAGAAACGAATTAACACTTGCTGCAACACACACGTCAGCCACCTTGGAGTTATATATTTTTACAAGAACAATTTCGGAGGGCATTCTTTCTAAAGACTGCTTGATTTGCACAAGGAAGTTTTAAATGTTTGTGAATGTGAAAAAAAAAAATAAGCGACTGAAGGAAAGAAGGAAAGAAGGAAACGAAGTAGGAGACTTCAGAGTTTCAGGTTGACCCCGCTGCTACCTAAACTCCAGCTCAGACTTTTTACCAGAAACTCAAAAACCACGCAAATGACGACGAAGACAACAACAAAACATTCCCATTTGAAATCTTTTTTTTTTTTTTTTTTTTTTTTTTTTTTTTCCTTTTGTTATTTTTATTTTACACCTCAGATGGTTATATTAAGACGTTTCTGTTTTCTGGAGTCGTTTTCATGTTTCAGATGTTTCCTTTGGTTTCCCGTAGCTTTGTTTGTGGTAAATGCAAGAGGAGATGATGTCAAGTGTCTGTTCTGTCCCTCTCTGTACGAAAAGCAAAAATAATGTAGCATAACGAGACAACGAACACTTGTTTTATGAAGTGTTCCTCTATGTAGACTGCTGCTGAAGGGTTTAGGGGGAGGGTGGGGGAGTCGAGGGGGAGGGTGGGGCACAAGCGACACATACAGTTTTGTAGTCTTAAAAGAAGGACAGAAGGCTTGCTTTTATACTAACTGTAGAGGGGATTTTTTGTATTACTTTTGCTTTGCTGGAACATAGTTTTTGTCCTCTTTTTGCCAATGTGTAAATGGCAATGTCACAGATCAGAACCAGAGACCAAAGTTGGTGTGGAGAGGGAGGGGAAGGGAAGGGGGAGGGCAAAGAGTCAGTTAGTGTGTGTTTCTTAGGGGGTTTTTTTCTCTTTCTTTTTGTGAATGGAGAAAGGAATGAAGAAAAGCAAACGAATGGTGTGTTTGAGACCACACATAAAACTGAGTTTTGGGCCACGTACTTGTGCACCAAATAGCCTTTTTGGAAAACCAAATGGTACGTAAACAGAAACGCCAGGACCTTCTGTAAATACAGATGGCCAAGTAAGAAGCACTTAGACGAGTCCCATGTGTGGCCTCAGCACTCTGTATCTTACTCTGTGACTCACTCACCCAGCTTTCCCTGTGTAAGTCAGTGGTGAAAAGTCAAAAATAAAGCTAAAATTATCAGTTGACTAATTAGTCAGTCAGCCAACAGAAGAATAATTGGCACCTAAAATGATTCAGACTTTTAAATAATTTTCTTGATTGTGAGGATTTGCTACTTTATTGTATGGCAATAAAAAAATAGCAACACATTTATTTATGACATCACATTGGGCTTTTATGACATTATATAGACTAAAGGGTAATTGATTCAGTTAGATGAAATTATTAGCTGCAGCCCATGCCATTTTGTAATAGTTTTTTTTTTTGTTTGTTTGTTTTTACCAGTTTTCCAGTTCTGGTTTGGTATTTTTCTGATGCCTCACATGTCTACTCTGCCTGGAATGATAAAATATTTGCTTAACTTTGGAATCCAGTAATTCCAGACTTAGTTCCTCTGCTCTGCTCTTCTTTGCTGTCCGCTGGAAGACTGAGGCAGTTCCTGGAAATACTGGATTTTAAATACTTGTATAGGGAGCACTGTGTGACCAAATCACAACATAACATACAGAGTGCTGAGGTCACAAATGTCGCTACACTTTAACCAGACAAAAAAGGTTACACACGGTCAGATTCACCAAAATCGTCCTTTTAAAAGCATAAAGGAAAACAAGTCTGACCAGAGAACCTGAAACCCATTTTATGTGTGGTTTTAAAAAAAGAGTGAGAGATACATGAATATATGCTTATGACTGTGGATTGAAAAACTGGGACTGTTTGTGTTGTTTGTTACAAAACCCTCAGAAATAATAAGCTTTGATTAAAAAAAAAAAAAAAGTTCTATGTGTAATGCAGCGAGCAGGTAGACGGAGGCAATGTCCCGAGCTGAAGATGCAGGCTTTAGAAGAAAATACTGAAAACTTGAAAGAACGTGCAATCTAGCGTTGTGTTAATGTAGTTCAGCAGTCAAGCAGAGAGACGCACTAAGGTCCGAGAGATAATCAAAGTGCACAGTGAAGCTTTTGGAGTGAAATTCAGTTTTGTTTGTCTGATTGCTTCGTTTCCTCGTTTGTTTTGTTAAATTTGTCTTTTTTTAAAAACACAGAACTTCTTGCCGGTGCTTGACTTTATAACCAGTGGAAGCATTTTCTGTCAAAAACTAAAAAAGCATCACACAATAAAAAATATCTTCAAAAACTGAAGAGAAAAACACAACTAAGTTGCACTCTATTCTTCCTAGGAATTTGAAACAAATCTGTATTACTGATTGGCTGTTGGCACGGAGATCATACTCACCCATTGGCTGTTCCTTTTAGGAGACACGTCTGAGATGAACGAGGTCAGCGTTGTGTCTCAGGGGACCTGGTGTCCCCAGACAGTCATCCCGCCGCTGCCTGTCTGATAATCTGCAGCTATTTGGAGAATGAAAAGGAAAGAGGGGGATGATATCTTGACCCTGGTTTATGGCAAACAAAGGCAGCTGTTCTTAATTCATCCCCTTTCTCTACACCGACACAAGCCTGTTTTTTTGTTGTTGTTTTTTCCTTTGGGGGGGGGGGGTCCACAGGAAAACATTTGTGAGGTCGTCTACCAAAAACCTCTTTTGAGAGACACTGGTTACAAAGTCAGACAAAGCACCCTCCCCTCATTGTCGTCTGCGGTGTTTTTCACAGTATGATAAGCCAGCATCAGAGTGTATGGGCCACACACACACACACACACAGGTACGTCTGAAGCAGTGTATCAGGTTGTAGGAAGAGGGCCATTGTTTGAGAAACTGCAGCAGAGTCATTGTGAGTGAATGATACAACCTTGGTTGTACCCACCATGTGTTTATCTATACCCCCGTCTCGATGTCCTCCTCACACTCCACAGTGTAGTAACCCATGACAGTATCATCGTTATCTACCCCCACGCACACCACGCCCTTGATATCGTCTGCTCACATTAGGTAGATGAGTTGGGGGAGGCGAGGTTTGTGGACCTGAAAGCCATTGATAGGAAGCGGTCTCTCCTCAATCAGTTTGGGTGTCCTAAAGCCGGCAGTGCTTAATCCAATTTGGCCTTTTCTCAGATTGCCGATGCCGACTGCTTTGGTTAATTTCTAAAAATTTGACTAAATAAAATGCAAATTGGATTGTGTTTTCATCCACACAAATATTCCTGAGAAGGCGTAACAAGATCAAAGAGCACCAGTAACACTGGTTCGTCTTGGCATTCTGTTGCTGCTTTCTGTAATCCTACATTTTCGTGCATGTACAGAAGCAAAATTGGCAATGTCACTGTCTTTGAGAAAAAACAAACCAATAAAAACCAGAAATCTGTTGGAATATTTATAAAGACGAGGTTTAAATAATGCCAACGGAAACATTACCACCCCAGCCAAGTCTAAAAAGGTTTTGGTAATATCTTTTCAAATTGATGCCATCTCCACTTTGCTCTAGTTTGTGCCAGTTCAAATGCACTAAAAGGTGGATGGAAACAAACAGTACTTAATGTCACTTCCAGGTCTGTGTAATAGCATCCATGCTAAGGAAGGTCGGAGTAACGTACGTCCTAAAAACAAAAAGTAAACAAAGTTACATGAAAATGAATAAAAGCAGTAAATTGTTAACAGAAACTTTTAATGCAATTGACATATTTGACTGAGCAACAACTGTAGAAATCAAATCAGTTGTTTTGCTTGTGAACAGGCTTAATTGGATTTAGCATGAAGCATACTGCTGGTCCCAGTAGTCCCTCTCTACCATCCCAGTCTAACTAAAGCTAAAGCAGGTACGGAGGAAGAAACACAGGGTCGTCACAGCTGGACGCAAGAGCTGCAGCATAAAGGACGTGGTGGCATGTTGGCTGTGTCCTATTTCAGGGGCCACTTTCAGATTCAGCTGAGAAATTTGACTTTCTTTTGTCCAAATTCGGGAATTCGTAGATAAATATCACCATTTTTTCTCAGGCGTCTGTATTTTTATTTTTTTTTACATTTGTTGCCCTGACAGACTTTTCTCTTCTTTGCGTGTTATGATTCTTTGTATCGTTGAGGCCCCCTATATCAGTCCAGACTTGGCGTTCTGCAGTTTTGCAACTCCTTTCTTCTCACACAAACTGTGGCTACAAGTATTACCACGATGCTTTAGGGTAAACAAGTTTTAGCTTTTTCACAGATATCCAATCCAGTGTTTCTGGCAAGCATCAGACCCATACAGATACCATAATGCACTGTGGTTACAGACAGGAAGTTGCAAGAATTTGTGATGAATCTTCTGCTAATGATCTTTGTGGAGGAAAAGGTTTAGGCTTCCCCTGCCTAGCCGCCGTCCTTTAAAGTCATCTGCCTCTGAATTGGGACACAGCCTTTATTGTGTTTTGTATCTGCTGCTGTCCGCCTGTGATGACGGTCTTTGTTTTTTCTCTTGGACTAATGGGGGACAGCAGGGCGGGGTTTGTCGATATAATCTTGAATGTACAAAAAAGGATCACTTTGGGTCCAAAGCTGTTTCTTTCTTCCTATTTTTTAAGCACCACAAGTCATGTTCGTCCGTAACGGAAACAAGATGATCCTAAAACTCAAGGTGCTATCGGAAATGCAGGCCCATTCGATTTGGCAGACTTTTGATGTCTCCTTCATAATATTTCCGGTCATTAACCCTCAGGTGTTTCAAGTTTACCGTAGAAATGACCACACAACAAAGCCAGCGATGTTTAAAAAAAAAAGAAGAAAAAAAAGAAAACAACTAAATCAGGGTTTTTTCTGCATTGATACTTAAATCACTCTCAGCCGATTAAGCTAGATTCCCACGACTTTGACTTTTGTAGTGTCCTCACTTCAAGAGGCTTGTTCCTCACGGCTTCCTGTAGCTTAGACACAGCACCACCACCGAAAGGATGTAATAGTCTTTCCTTCCCCTCCATCACCACACAGTCTGACGGTTTGATTTTATTGTTTTTATCAGCTGACTTTTGTTTTTCAAACGGGGAACTCAAACCCCCCTAACTTTATTACTTGAACTATATTGCATTGCTCACTGTTGAATGTCTTTATATGAAAATATACATTTATTAAAGGAAAAAACAAAACAAAACGAAGAGTTCCCTTTTGTTTTATGGTGAGCAGGGCCGAGGTTTTTAGAGTTTTATGACAGATGTACAGTATTCGTTACAGGCAAACATAGAGCTACTTTAGGAGGGAAGGAGGCGCTTTTTGAAAC